AATTATATATAAAAAGACATTTTTTATTATATTATTTATAAAATAATTAATTTAATAATAATAATAATAATATATTTTATAAATTATTTTATGTAATATTTTATTTATAGTATATTGTATTTCACATTATAAAACTATTTGTAACTAATTTGTATGTAAAATATTATTTAATACTTATTATATATTTTATATTATAAATATTATTTATTAATACACAAAATATACTTGTAAAATTTAATATAATTATTTATATATAATTACAGTAACTTTTTTACTTTATAAATTTCAAAATAATTACATAATATATCATTTAATATTTAATAAACCATTCATAAATAAATTTATTTAATTCAAAAAATAATTAAATGAAATGAAGAAAAAAAGTTTTTCACGTGCAATCGAACCCAGACCTCGCGCAGAGTAAGCAGACGATTTGCCAACCAAGCTACAGAATCGTTGCAAGAAAATAAAATTTAATTGTATAAAAGCTAAGCATGAATTTCGAAGGCTAATTTCTTCGAATTGACTGGCCATTCGGCGGAATTACATTGAGGGGTGAACACCCTAAAGGAGTACTACTATTACACCAAGTCTCGATCCCAAATGAATTTCCTTAGTCGTGCTGTTTACTGTTTTAAAATAATTTAATTGAACTGTGAATTTAAGAATTTGATTAGAGTATTGCAGATGCAACTTTTTTCTGCCACCGTTTTGTAAGGGGCACCATTGAGTATTGTGAAACGTGGGGTATAAAGTATTCAAGGTGTTGAAAGGATATTTGTCTGCACTATAGTTTCCATCCTAGTTTTACTGTCTATATTTACGATTTTGATCTCTTTTATGCATATTATCAACCGTATCAATGATATGGGCCCTCAAGCTGCAAGGGACCTAAACTGTTTAATATTTTGATATTTTAAATAAATTTTATTGATTCGATCATTTTAATTTATTTTCCAAAAAGGGCCCACAGGGAATTTCGATACGGGTCTCATTCAGGACAAACAACGCCAGTTTGTTATCTGACCTTAAATGTATAGAGACTAATACTGATTACTCACGGTATGGGCACGTATTTGTGGTGTACGTGATGGTGGTGGCTGGCTGAGGCTGCATGTCTTCCATGCACGTGATGGGGTACATGTACAGGTACGAAGTGGTGACCTCCCCCTCCACCCCCTTCTTCTTCTCCGCCTTTAGCGAGGGCCTTGGCGATGAGTCCTGCCGCCAACAGTTTTTCGATGCTACTCTGTTGATTATGGTGCCGCCCCGCAATAGCAACTCCCAGTACAGTGAGGAACACCCAAATGAGCCACCTGCGAATGAAAATAAAATAAATCTAAATAATGAACGAGCACCTTAATGATGGGGTGTGTAGAAACAATGTGTGTGGTCCCTCCTTTTCAGTTTGAAAATTTATAGTCGCCTTTCTTAAGAAGACAGAGTGTTATGATGCGAAATAATTTAAGCAATATTTTCCCTCATGTTCGGAATTATTTGGCACCTCTTTAAATAAAAATGATTAAATTCCTGATTATTTAGTTCTTGTTCTTAACAAGTGCTTTAAACATGCATTTAAGTAGAATTTAACAATTGAAAACGCTATATATTTCTTCTTTGAAATAAAAATTAATTATTCGAGACATTTTATGAAATATTTTATACTTAAAGGTTAATGACTTGATGTGTGTGTCCATTTTCTTACATAGTAACAAGGAATATTTTTGAAGGGAATACAAAATACAAAGAAAAATGAAAGAAGAATGCAAGCACATTCTTGTGGCTATAACAAATACACTTAGACTTTCACAGAAATATACAAAGAAAGTGATCTTGAAGATATTAATATTAAGAAAAGAATAAAGAGTTCCCCAATTTATTTATAAACTGGTGCGTCATCATCGAAGGAAATTTTTCTTACTTAGTTTTAGAAGTATGCATTATTTTTTAAAAAGTTTTATTTTTACGTGTGTGCTTGTGTGAACACGAATTCTCAATTCTTTAAATCTCTCTCAAACTGTAAATGTGAGAAAAAGTTGTTGGCTTTATATATTGGGGCAGTAGCGCACACAGGAATTTTTCAAGGGGTGGGTGGGTCCGGGGTCGAAAGTTCACCATTCTTGTATCATGCTCCTTTTGATTTTGTCGATTTTCAGGAACAAAATACAGTGAAAAACTAATTATTGAATAAATAATTAGCATTAATTAGTAAAATTAATCATTAATAACAAATACTTAATTAAATTTTTCGGACTATATACTTAGAATTTTAATCTATCGGGAAAAAAATCAAGGGCTTTGGGAGGGGAGGGGGTCCGGACCCCGGACCCCCCCCCCTGTTTGCGCCATTGTATTGGGGAGATTACATTATAGCAGATGGTGTCATATGCATATATGGGACTTTATTCAAAGTAAATGTAAATAAGTTAAAAAATATTGTCTTAATTTATGCAAAAAACTGGAAAAGAAAGAATTTTTTCGAAAAAAGAATGAATATAATGTACATTAATGTGTGTAAAAATGTTCTTCCTCAAAATTGTGTTTTCATTTAGAAGTTTGATGGACCCTTATCCTTGGTCTATCAGATCTCGTTGTTGTTGCCGTGTATGGCAAAGTACACAGACAGAAAGGATGGGGGGAAAATTAGATAGCGCGAATCACTGTCTTGGCAATGTCCTCGGTCTTGTGGGTGTTACAGTGAATGTCAGTTTTGAAAAGGATACGAGCAATGGAAGGGAAGTATTTGGGATCCGACTGCATGCCCTTGCACTCGACAAATTCTGACAGTGAGAATTGTTTCCATGGATTTGTGCAAAGCGTCTGTTTTGGCAACAAAAACCGAAGAATACAGAGGTGAAGGCTCAATTGCACTGGCTTCTTTGACAAGAGAGTCGGTCAGTTCGTTCCCTTCGATATCAAAGTGAAACGGTGAAAGGTGCAGAAAGTGCCCATTGCCTTAGTGTTGAGCAGAATAGAGTTGCTGTCTTGGGCGAGAACTTTGTTTTTCTTCCCTGAATGACTTCGAGAGTGGATCCGAAAACACAATGATGCCATCGCAGTGAGCGATGTTTGTCATGATTGCAAAAAACGCAAATAGATGCGAGTTTCTCCACTGTGCTTCGAAGTTGTATTATCTAGGTATGGGTAAGAAAGATACCGGATCGCAGACACTATTGCAGTCTGAAGAACTGTCGGTGTACACAGTGACTAGACGAAGCTTCGGAAGATTGTGTCCATAACTTTTCTTTTTATCGTGCCTACTGGCGCCTTTTTATTGCAGGACTCTTTAGCATATCCAAAATAATCTTGACAGTGGAGGGTAGTTTGACAGAAAAGCAGGCTTCTGTCATGTGTGTTTCGTATTAATAACGTTTCAGATGTCGTTTTCAAACGGAAGTGTTGAAGATCTCGTGATGTCGTGCATTGAAAAACGCAGCGGAGTGTTTGCGCTCGAAACGAGATCGCAATCTGGACGAAGAAAAGAGAAAATTCCCAATGGTAGAGCGATTGACCTTCTTGAGGGGGTGGGGAGGAATCTTTTTTCCTATTTTACTTTCCCAGAGATTTAAGAGGAGCGCGTTCAGCCACCGAATCGAATCGCTCCACCGAATGTGTGTCATAGGCTGACACATTTCTGTCTCCTTCTCCACCCCACATCCCGATGAGTGATTGGCAGGTGTGGCGAGACATTGAAATTTCCCTCTTCTCAGCTGGCTGACCTTGAAGAGGGATAACACTAGGGATTTAGAGTATAACGAAACATGTTATATAGAGGAATTTAAAAAAAAAAAAAAAAAATTATTTTTTTTCTGATTATATACTAAAACAGCATATATCTTGATAAAAGACAAAAATGATTGTTGAAATGAAAAAAAAAAATTACGAAATCTGAATTATTTCAAAATCGAATGTAATGGACTTCAGGAAATAAAAATTGAATAAATAAACAAAAAGAGAGAGAAAGATTTTATTTTCTTTACGGCGGAAATGAATGTTTATTGTCGCAATTAAATTAAAGCGAAGCAAAACCATGTTTTTTTCACGGCAACTCTACAGAAAGAAAAATATATTTGTAATGAAATGTCTTTCTTTTATCATGGGTGAAAACAATCTTTTTGTGTTCCTTTAGCGTTCGGTCTAACCTGGCAAGAGCAATCCTTATAATAGCATTCATGACAAAGATGGAGTTGATCAAAACTAAAAGACACTAAACCAAACAAATGTCCTTAAACATAATTACATATTTTCATTTCAAAATATGCTTAATATTATACTAAATAGTATCATAAAAAAATGTAAGTCAATTTCCACTTAGTTCAACAAAGAAATTTTTTATTTTAATTACTTTTTATTAAATAGTTACAATTAATATAAACATGCATATACATATAACAGATTGATTGATTGATTGAATATTAACGTCGCACTGTTCAGCTACACGAGGGCTTTTGGCGACGGACCACGTAATTTTGAACCATGGTCAAGTGACGTGGATGACACCGGAGCTGGCACCCCCCTCTCCTAACTACCACACCACACCATTACATATAACAGAACCACAATACTAAGTGACAAACTAGAAAGCGACTTTCCTTTCTATATAGTGGCCGCTGTAGCCGAGTGGTCAAGGCATCGGATCGTGGCTGGCTTTGTGACGTGTTCGAGCCCAGTACCACTAAAGGCCCTCCGTGTAGGGGCGCAATTCATGTTAAATCAGTCGAGAGCTCAAACGCGTCCTCCCGTTGGTGTGGTGTGGTAGTTAGAAAAAGAGGGGGCCAGCTAGGTGTCGTCCACGTCACTTGACCATGGCTCAAAATTACGTGATCCGTCACCAAAAGCCCTCGTGTAGCTGAACAGTACGACGTTAATATTCATTCACTCATTCCTTTCTATATGTGGTGTTGGACTATTTTGTTTGTTTCTATTTAATAATTAATTCAACTTAATTATTCCAAAAAAATAGTTTAGTAAAAAATAGATCACATTATCAGAAAATAGGCTATCCCAGGTGGGATTCGAACTCACGATCTTTGGAATACTCGTCCAACATGCTATCCATTGCGCTGCAGAGACACAATGAATAATTTACCTTTCTATATATCCTGGTGTACTATTATTTTTTTTGTTACTATTTATTCATTTTTTAATTTAATTAATGAATTAAATTTGAAAAAAAAGTATTAACATTAAGTGTCATATATAGAACTGAAGGGGATTGATTGAATACTAACGTCGCACTGTTAAGCTACACGAGGGCTTTTGGCGACGGACCACGTAATTTTGAATCATGGTCAAGTGAAGTGGGCGACACCTGAGCTGGCACCTCCTCTCCTAACTGCCGCACCACACCAGCGGGCGGACATTTCAGCTTTCGACAGATTTAACGTGCATCTCTGCCCTACACGATGGGTCTTTAGTGGTACTGGGCTGGAACTCATAACAAGGCAAGCCACGATCCGATACCCATACCACTCGGCTACGGAACTGAAGGGGAAGGAAATATTCTTCAGTCACCTGCCCTCGTGATTCAGTCCACAAGACTTTCGAACCCACTGATTTAACGAGCACGTACTCCGTGTGTTCTCGGAAGGTATTTGGTGGCATCGGGCATCGAACCCAGGTCTTCCGGTTTGGAGTCCGATGCTCTAACCACTAGGCTACCCACGGTCCTTTAAAAAAATGTATTATATATAAATATATGGAGAGAGTGAACTATATAATGGCATGAATTGAAAAACTTATTTAATAACTAATATCTCTAAAAATGGACACACAGTCCACACAATTTGGAAGCTTTAAACTTAAATAATATTACTTAAAGGGATAATATACTTAAATTGAAACTGTTGTGCATGGATCTATGTAACGAATCTCATTTTATCTATTTATACGATTTGCTTACGCAATGGTATAAAAATAAATATTAATCGCATTATTTTTTACTGAGTGATATCGCAAGGATATTTTGTTACGCAAGGATATATTTTTAGTAACTAAACATTTATTTAAAGTTGTGTGAGATTTACTAGTTATCAAATTTTTTATAATACGACGCTTGAGCAAAATGAAAGGGGTTCAGTAAGAGCTGCTGCCCAGACTACCTTGCAAAAACCCGAAGCTATTGGCAACAGTGGCGCGCCCAAGGGGGCAGCCCCCCAAAGCCCTTGAATTTTTTCCGATTGATTATAGTTCTAAGTACATAATACGTAAATTTTAATTATTTGTTATTAATGATTAATTTTATTAATTAATGCTAATTATTTATTCAATAATTAGTTTTTGCTGTGTTTTGTTACCGAAAATCGACAAAATCAAAAGGAGCATGATACAAGAATGGTGAACTTTAGCATATTTTGTGCACCCCCTGTAGTAGTAATTTTTGTGTTGTGTAATGCAATGAAAAATTCGGTTTGTATAAGTTTAATTTGTAAAAAAAAAAAAATGAAATATAATCTGGGGGCGCTACTGATTGGCAACGAGCCATGATCACGTGACGAAAAGAAAACGCACACCTGAATTGCTACCACACTCTCCAAACTTCTACACTACACGAATCTTTGCGATATTTAGAGGAATTTTAGCTTGGTGTAAAATCGTGAGCCATATATATATATATATTGAGTGGGGGATCATGGGTCTGAATTTTGATCGTAACTAAGACTTTCTATGTATTACTGGTAATTTGTTCTAGAGCAGAGGTTCTCAAATTTTCTGACTCATAGACCTTTTGCCATGTTTTTCGTCTTTATGTAGACCTCTGCTTACCTAATATTAAATTTTTGCACATTGATCAATTTAAATGTCTTTTTGACAGCTGCTACACACAGGGCTACTTACTTTAAGAAATTAAAATTTTAACTGCAGTGAAGTATAGTGTTTAACACTTACGAAAAACACATGTTAATTTTAAATTTAAATTTAATATAATACATAAAATAATTTATCAATAAACAAAAATACTCTTTTTGTAGGAGGGATGAATCTGGCGCTTCAATAACAAATTGTTAACATTTGGCATCAATCTTGTCGAGTTTAACCCTAAATTTCTTTGGTTAGTAGAGTGTCCACTATCTTTCTTTCTTTCCTTCTTTTCTTTTTTTTTGTCTACCGTAGTCAAAGCATTCTCAAATCTAGGTTCAAAATCTGAATAGAGGGCATTTAAATGAACGTAAGTTGAAAAAACATTATCCTGGCTAATTGTCTGTGACAAAATGAGAAATTGGGAAATTTCGCGACGCCCAATATTTTACTCCTTTAGCTTAATTCTGGCAACGAAAACTGAAATGATGTCCTTGTTTTAATTAAATATATGCTGTCACCTTGTAACTGTGTAAATTACCCTCATTAAATGTAGTAAATAAATCTGTTAAAAAGTAAAAAAAAAAGTCTGGTATCCCTTTGATTATATTTTCTTTTAAAACTAAAATCACGATGTGGTTTAATGAAAGCTTCTATCATTTACCCCCATTTACACCTCATGGACCCCTAAATTATTTTTTCACTGACGTGGACCCCTTGCAAGTCGTCATAGACACTTGGGGGTCTATATAGACACCACTTTGGGAACTACTGTTCTAGAACGTTATATTAATTTTTAAAAATATTTGCCCAGGAGTTGATGAGTTTTTTACTATCTCTTTTTTCTACTTTTATATAGAAATCTTTCAAGTTACACAAACAGTTTTCTACAGTTCAACTGACTTTCTCGGATAGGAAAGCATTCATTTGAGCAAAATCCAATGGCTATTCAGTAAGTGGTTTCAGTCGAGTTAATTGAGAAAATATTTTGATGAGTGTGTGAATAGAAGAAATATTATAAATGTTCGGTTCGGCTTTTGTAAAAGAATATTGTAGCCCCAATTCAGCAGAAATTTATTTCTGTTTACTTGAAAAGCGCGCCCTTTTACTAGTGAAACGTTTCGATTCTACGTTTTCTCACGGTTATTAGTTATTGGATACGCTTCGCAGAGTTTTCCAATCTTCATCACTTAAAGAAAGGATTCACCTTGAGCCTCAGGCGCTACCTCGACGGACAATTGGAGCATAAAAAGTTTCGTTTGTCTTATCCGAACTTAATCTAAAGAAGTATCAAAATGCACATACTTTCTCCGTCTAAAAGATGTTATTCGAAAATCTAAATGATTCATTTACCTGTAGGGCTTTTTTTGTTTATCGCAGAAATGTAGATTCTTTTTTTTTTTAACTGGAATGCCTTTTTACAACTTATGATTACCAACTAGATTGCAAAACATTCAAACAGCACACACTCTTGAATTGCATTCTAGGAAGAAAACTAAACTTATTACTTCGATATTATAAAATATATTGCAAAACTTTTGTTTTAAATGTTTCCTGTGCTAATAAGATACAGGGTTTATAGTTGTGAGCCTGCAGCTGATGTTTTAGTCGCAGAGTTTAAAGCGCATTAAACATATCGCGGCAGGCAGGAGCGCACGTACACGTTGATGCAGTTTGAAAAACAGAGCGTGCACCTTGTTTTGGAAACTTCAGGTAAATAGGAATTTAAGAAAAAATATTAGGAACTAATTAATTGTGCAAAATCAGAAAAAATTTATATTTACCAACATTTGGATGTCATAATTTGATAAAATAGACATTCAGAAATTACATTCGATATTCGAATCCATAACTGATTAATAAATTGTTTATATAAGTCTCTAGTAAGTGCTGTTGGTGACGGACCTCGTAAGTTCGAGTCCATGCTTGTTATGTTAATGAGCTCATAGCTCTGTGGTTGGGGTCGTGGGTTTGAGTCCTGATGCCAGCGAAGAACCACCATGTAGAGGAATTGATGCACGTTAAATATGTTGTAACTCGAAGACCTCACGTTGGCGTGGTGTGAAAACTTGGAGCGTAGAATTCCAGCTCAGATGTCATCCTCACTACTTGATACGAGTTTCAAAATTACTTGGACCATCGCCTGCACCGTCGTGTCGCTTCAAAGTGTCGCATGAAAGACGAATTGAGGTTCAACGTAGTTAACAATCATTATCCGGGTCTTTGGGGGAACCAGAACTCGAACTTATGGCTCATCTGATGATGCCCCTCCGATCATGAGAATTTGGGTTTCACGACTTCAAGTCTGAGAACAAAGCATTTTAAAATAAAGGAGCTTAGAGGATAATTTTCTGTTGAGAAAAACATGTCGAATATATATATTCCAGCGATTTCAATGTCTTATATAAACTTTAATACGATTACATCAATAGAAAAGAAAAAGGAAAAAAATACTTAGGTAATATTTAATAAGATTAAAAATCATTAGATGATAGGTCAAAACTTTTTAATCGTCTTTGAATAACACTTGATCCAGAAACCTACATATCCCAGGATTATATGATACGCAAAGAGTGGGTTGGATAACATTCACTTTCCACTCCTCTTCTGATTTTTCAAGTTTTCAAGATGCTGCAAGATATCTTTCTGATTTGATTCGAAAAGGGATTAATTAGAGCTTTGGTCAGAAAAAAAGGCAACATCAGGGAGGCGCTTAAAATGGGAATCGAAATTAGAAAAATCAATGTCAAATTACTATATATATATATATATATATATATATATATATATATATATATATATATATATATATATATATATATATATATATGTATATATATAGTAATTTGACATTGATTTTTTAATAATGAAATATATGTATATATATATATTTCATTATTACTCTTTGCGTTCATCTTTGAACTGAGATGTGTTTTGGGGGAATTTTCAGTGTTTCTGTTGCTTCCTGGTTGTCAAATTTCTGGAGGCCAAAACCACAAGCATCTTTTTAGGAAATGGTTTGAATATTTATGAAAGCACTTTATTTAAATGCTGTTAGATCTGACTAAAAAAAATTTATATCTTTTCTAAATAAAAATATCTTGCGTTTTCCCTGTCAGTGTAATAATCAAACCATACCGATCCAAAAAATCTACGCTACTTTTACATTAAATTAAAAAGAGGGAAGACTTTTTAAACAGATGAAATGTCCCGCGCATGAACTATTTTTTTAAAAAAAGATAACTTTTCATTCGCATTTCTTCCCTTCTCGTCTA